CCCACCCCGGCCCCTACCCCTCATCTCTTGCGCAGCCCACCTCCCCTTCCCGCCCTCCCCTGGACCCAGGCGTTTGCGCCGCAGCCACCCCCACGAGCTGATTGCGCGACCGCCCATCCTAGGCCCTGTCTGCGACTGAGGCGGGCGCCGAGGCCTGCGCCTTGTCTCGGCCACGGCTGTTTTTGCCACCTCTCCTCGGCTCCTTGAGCTGCACAACTAAATGAAGGCGAAGGACAGAATGGTCAGAATGATGTGAAAACAGGCTGATTTTTGATCCTGTTGCTTAATCCCTCCGATTAGCTAACCCAGATCCCAAAGTCGAGGGGGCTAATTTTCTCTACCTTGATCGTTGCTACGGCGCAAAGGGATTTAACGCATGTTCTCCCTGGCGATCCTCCGAATTAAGACTATTTGGAGCAGACCCTCCCTATACACACACACAGTTTGCCCGGGAAAAAAAGGGGGGGGGTGCTTCGTGGGGCCCGGGTCAGAGACTTACATGCAGATTCAACAGACGAAAAGACCTGGCCTCGGCGCGGCAAACCTGAGGATCTGTTCCAGTGAGAAAAGTCCGGATGCCTGGTCCACACTATTCGCTTCTACATTCAGGCCAGCTGGGAATCGCCTCCCTAGCTGGGCTCCGCAGTTCTGGCGCAGCCTTTCCCGGTCCGCAGAAAGACTCTGTGGAGGGTGCCGGAGAAAACCACTCTGCCGCCCTCCAGGAAACTTCTGCGCCTCTCCTGCAGCCGAATTGCCTCTTGCATTTTGCAGCTACCACCCACCCCCGCCCGTTACTCACACCAATTAATTGAAAACTTCACTTTCCCAGGGACCTTTGTTTCGCTTTCTTTTCCAAGCTGCCAACTACAGAGAACTGAGAGGGGCAAATTAAGAGGGCTTTTTTTTCTTTTTCCCCAAGCAAATTTGGGGCTCGTGATGGGAGTAGCTGAGAGCAACTGGGTCTGAATTCGAGGGGTAGAGTGGGCTCTGAGCAGCCCCACCAAGGTGTCAGGGATCACAGACAGCCTTGAGCCCTCTTCATCTATTCCTTCCACTCCTCAGCCACAGAGCCCCAATCCATGATCCTCCATCTTAGCCATTAACAGGGATCTGATGTGAGTCCTGCGGCAAATTTAAGGCTCCACCTTAGGAGGAACATTAGATCTGATAAGCTGAAGGTACTGGGGTGGTTGGGGGAATCCTCAGAGTGAGCCCATTTTGTTCTGTAGCATCAGACCAGCCCATCTCCAAGAAAATTGGTCCCTGAGCCTGCGATTGGTGAGGCCAGCTTGTCACCTAGCCCGCTGTTCCTGGACCCAAGACTGGACCTGGATGGTGCAAGTAAAAGAGCCACAGAGACTCTCTTGGGCCTGGCCTGGCATTGCAGGGTGGGCTGCTGGTGTTGGGAGTGTTGACACGCAAAACGCAGTAACCATAAAAGGTTCAAATAAAGGGGAAAGTTATGAGAGGGGCACTGGAAAGGAAAAGCAGGAGAATTTGACCTTTTTGAAGTCCTAGACATGTTCATGATCAAATTCAAGACAGGAGGGGCCTAAGCCTCTGCAGAAAATCATAGGGAATAGAAATTTGCTGGTGAGAACAATTTTGGCTAGTTGAGAAAAGAACACAGAAGTTAACAAGTGAAGCTGGATTTGATTTTTTAAATGACAGCCAGGGCCAAGTGACAGGGGTGCTGACTTTTTGGAAGATTCTGGCTGCGTCCTCTTTACTAAACAGTTTCACTACCAAACTGATCATGAGATGCCCCCGCTCCCGCAGTGCTCTTATTTTTTCTTTGTCTCCCTTTCTTTTTCTCAGGGAGGAAAAACATGGAGATACTTAATTTTTTTTTCTGTCACCTTGAAAAACAAATTCGTTGAAATATCTCTAAGACATAACTGGAACCAATGAACTTTCAGTCTCTTAAAACTAAATATCCCTGTGATTTTGTGCCCAGGACTTTCAGTTCTATTTTCTGATAAATACATTATAGTGACTGATTGTATGCTTAAAATTGAAGAAAGTGAAATTAAGATAGGAAGGAAGAACTTGTCAAGTTTTGCTGATTTCAGACATCCTTTCACTTTTAGCTTATTTTCCATTCAGCAAATTAAGTTGTGCAGGATTGGGAGAAAAGTCTGAATCAATGCTCTGGTTGAAAGACACTTCTCAATGGTGGCCCTGCCTCCAGTTGCCCTGTGGGACTCTGGCAGGATTTGGACGCTCTCTGCCCATCCTAGCCAGTGTTCAGACACCCAGAAGGTTTTGGGCGATAAGGAGAATTACTTCTTGCTATTCCACAGATGAACCTTCTTCCAGTGCAGCCTTCTAGGTCCTGGCCCTGGCGGAGGGGATTCTCCTTAGAAAAGAGGCTCTGACTGGACCCTATGAGGGCCCCCTATACCCAGCACCCTAGGGCAGCTGCTGCTATTGGATCATAGGGCTGTGGCTGAATACCAGGCAAAGTTTGGGCTGCTCTATTTATGAACTAAGACAACACATAGTTTACAAGCTGAGAGTGATAGGTAATGGAGGAATTTTGAGGATAAATATGCAGAAACATTTCATTTAGCTTGTGTACCCTGTATCTGAGCTGATTTCAGGTTTAAACTTAGAGGGAATAATTTTCTTTAACTGGCCAGGAGCACAGACTGAAACCCTGTATATGCGTGTGGGTGTATTACGGTGGGTATTTAACAACAGAAGTAGTCTTTGTCAAATGAAAATCTTTGCAACCAAAAACATCTCCAAACACTGATATGTTATTCAGTGAAATCAGTTTTGCCCTCTTACCTGATTTTGGTGAAACTCATGATGGCCCTTCATTGCCAAAGTCCTACTCCATCAGAGAGTCAGGTCAGCTTTGCCCTCCTCTCCCATCACTTGCTTCTCTCCCTCCTTTCTCTCCCTAAGCACTCTTTTTGGCAATTGATGATGTTCTGGAAGTCATGTCCTCTCTTTTCCTCCTTGTAGATGATCTTTCAAATCACGTCCCTGTCCTTGGTTGGGGAGTGGGTAAATGTAGGCCGAGATTAAGATTTATTGAAGAACGTAAGTGTCTCTGCTTGCCAAGACGGCAATGAGCTCAATTAACCACCTAATCGGTGGCCATTAGGTTTAGGACAACAATAGCCGGGTCCTAACAGAGTGGGGTCCTAGGAACTTCTTTGAAAGTGTTCTCCTTGATGGCCACACCAGAAAGTGCAGGACACCATCCTAATTCACTTGTAAGAAACCAAAAATTTAGTGTAGAAATAAAGTCATAATTCCAAAGTAAAGTCTTAAATCCAGCGGAACTGGCTGGACAGTGCTCTTAACCAAATCTGTACCCTGACAACTTTGGAGCTAATTTTTCCTCTGCAGGCAATACCCAGTTTCACTCAGGCTGGAAATGTCAGAGGGATTAAACAACAACAATAAGCCTGAGCAACAAACTTGAGATAAAGAAAGGGGTCTCTAGCAAAAGCCAGACAGTGGAATCCCGAGTTTTAGACACTTTCTGCCTCTGAGATGTATTCCATTTGAATTTAACAACACGATTAGGTTTTATTAAATGTAAATTGTTTGCAACAACAACAAAAACCTCTCCAAACTGAAGCATTTATTTGGTGAAACCAGGTTTACCTCCCACAGGGCAGCAGGCTCTCGTTCGGGATGGAGAGAACTCCTCCAGTCCTGGCGGGAATTAAACACAGTGAGAGTCTTCCCTCTCAGAGAAGCACTAATCTCTCTGCGAAGGGGGCGCCGGAGGGTGGATGGAGCTGGAGGACCCCATAACTTGTTGCTTTTCTCCCAAAAGATGGGACCGCAAACCATCTTCTGCTGTTTTGTCCCACAACTCAAGGTGCTGGGTTATCCTTGGAATACTTCTCTACCAATTCCATTGTTAACTGAAGTTCAGTAAGTGCTCACTCTGTCGGCTTTTGAGATGAAAGTAAATAAAGCCTCTATCTCTCAGTCTCTCTGTCTCCCTCCACCCCCATGCCTATTCCGCAGAGCCCCGCTGTCTCTATGGGAAATCCACTTGTGGTCAAGGGCAGAACGAAAGGATGAAGGTTAGGGAAATGCCTAACCACGAAGGGGCGGGTCGGGCGGGGGCAGGGGGAAGGGGCGAAGGGAAGGAGGCGGAGGAGCCAGTGGCCAGGCTTAGCTTCCCGGCTGGGCGACGCGCAGTTCCCCAGGCCCGGCGCTAGATGTCCCTGCAAGTTTTCCTGTCGCATCTGAGGGCGCAAGAGCTTCAGGCAGGCAGCGAGTCGGGGTAGCCCCAGAGTCCAGGGAGAAAGTACTTTCCGACCCCCCATCCATGGCCGTCCCGGTGGGGCGCGAGATTGTAGGGGAAAGGAGGAGGAGGAGAAATAGAAGCGGCCAGAGAGACCCGAGAGAGAGAGCGCGAGGCCGGCCTGCCGAGGGTTGGCAGCAAAAAGTTGCCGATACGGAGTCCGCCTTGGAGTCGCCAGACCTGCGTCTTCCCTTATAAAGCGAAACCTCCAAGCCGTAGGGACGGCACTTGGCCTAAAAAATATGGACTCGGGCTTCGCAGCCCAGGCTCCTGCTGTCCCACCGCACCCGGGGACCCCATTCCTCGAGCGAGTTTGCGTCCGGATGCGGGCCTGAAGGTGTTGGGCCCCGCTGGCCCGGAGCCTTCCTGGCCGAAGGCCGGAGCCAGGCCCCGGCGTTTGCGGGCTCCGTTGCCACTCCGGCTTTCCTGGCCCCCCTCCCTTCGGGAAGTCTGGACAGATTTTTATTACCTTCGGTCGAAGGCCAAAAGTGTTTACCACTTCACCTCGGAGGACCCGCCGCTGCTCGAGAAATAAATATTTAGTCTGGAGGCCTATCAACAACAACAACAACAACAACAACAACAACAACAACAACAATTTAGGCCTCTTTCATGTAATTCCTCCTTTGGAGCAAAAAGTGCTTTTCAGTCCATTTGGAGAAAACCCTTCCCAAATCCTCACTCTCGATGCATCTTAAAAATTCCTGCCAAACCACAAGGACATCGGTTGGATTCTTGTGTGTGTGTGTGTGTGTCTCTCTCTCTCTTTTAAAGTGAGTCTTGTACTTTTGTAGTGAGTAGGAGGTCTTGGTAGCCTAGAGGCTGCATCTGAAAACCAAGGACTTTTGACAGGCCCGTTCCCAGTCTCAGCCTCTAATTCTGGGAGAGGTGTAAAGTTTGGGCATTTCATTAAAAAACACCAACAGAACTGTGTTAATCTTCTTATTATCCTCTATACACACAGTGTTTTTGAGGTAGGCTTGTATTTAAAGAAGACATGCAAAATGAGAGAATCAACCAAAAATGCCCAGTTTTTTTTAAAGTCTAATCAATCACCTTACAATGTTGAGTCAATCTCTCCAAAGCCTTTAAATATAACCCGGATATTATCAGAGATAACTTTAAATCACAAGCAAATCTTTCAACTTCTATGTAAAAGATTTCTCATCTCAAAAAAAAAATTGAATCGATCTCTAGAGTTGCTCTGAGCTTTAAAGGAATTAATATATGTAAAATGCACTTGTAATTTTAGAGTAAAAGCTCTATATAAGTCGACCAGTATTACTACTATCAGATGTGTGATCTAAATAAAAGGACGTTAAGTATTGTAACGGAATATTCACTGTCTCCCAAGAAACACTGCTAAACGTGAAAAATTATAGGTGTCCTTTCAGTGTTAGTAGTTTCCCTGACATGGTCTCAAAAGTACTTGTCATAATAACCGTGCTAGGATACGCAATATTAGTGTTATTTAAAAGGTGCAAGATTGTTTGCAAAACCACTAATGAATGAAAGTGTCATGGAGAAATGGTGTTTTCCCTCTCCAGCGGACTGAGGTCTGGTTTGGCATAGGCCTTGGGACTAGAGGCGAGGGGTCCAGGGGAAGGGAAGAAGTTGGAGACCCACCCGCTGGGTGAAGGAGGAAAGAGTTGCCGTCAGCACCCAAATCCCCAAGGGCGATTTCTGCGATTGAAAGCAGCTCACAGCCGCTGAAACCACGAGGAAAACAGACGGGGGCGCCAAACGACAGCAATAAAGGCATCCGCAACTTCCGCTTAAGTCGCGCCTCCACCAGATCCCACCCTCCACCCCGCCAAGCTTTGGCCCCCCCACGGATCCGAGCCTGGACCGAAGTGTCCCATTTAGTCCCCAAAGCGAAGTGGGACTACGGGGTAACCTTCCCAAGTTCCTGGGACAGCAACTCCCCTCCGCTGGGCATAGCCTGCCAGGGATGGTGGAACTGGGCACCCGGACTGTGGGGCTCTGAAGGAGAGATGGAGCATCCGCAAAGCTGAGCTCTGACCACGTTAGTGGCCGGAAAGCCGGAGCGAGAAGGGCTCATAGTGGTCGGCGTCCGATGGCCTATGGGGAGGGGCGGAGGTGGAGACCGGTCAAGTCGTCCTCCCAGATCCCGACGCCTGCTGCGGGTCCCACCTCTCACCTCCTCCGCCCCCGGGTGCCTATCCAGCTTTCAATTTCTCACACCTTGGGGGAGAGTTCCGTTTATTACCTTAAAGAGGTGGAATTGATTTTCTAAGCAAAGCTCCCGTTGCTGGCGCCAAGGGGAACAGGAGAGAAACTTTTGGCATTGACTCTGTGTATAAATGTATATAAATACACTTCACACCTCACCTCCCCTTACATTCCTGTCGCGCCCCCAACGGGTCCAAGGTTAAAAGGAAAGCTCCAGCAGAGAGATGGGCAAATAGATCTCGGGTTTGCCCTTAACACACCCCCAATGTGCTGGGTGTGGCAGCAGGGAGGAAAGGGAGGGGGCCTGGGTCGGGGTCTGGCTTGGCGCTGAGGCGGGGATACAGGGCCGAGCCCAGCGCCCAGATTGCCAGGGTCTCTCGGCCGCTTCAGAAGCTCTGATGCCGACCTCCGTGTCCCATCTCTATCCTCTCTTGTCTCTCCTGTGGCCGTGGATCTCTCCGCTTGGGCTGCTGGCGGGCGGACCCTCACAGTGTACTGGGGGTCCGGGCACGGTGGGGCGCAAGCGAGGGAGGAGACACGCAACGGCCTTGAGTGAAGATTGATCTTCGTTAAAATGGTTGCCACCGGCGTCATTATGGCCATCAAAGTTATCGCCAAGAGGCTCAGCCGCCAAGCTCAGGCCGGGAGGAGCAGCAGCAAGGCTGGTCCGCGGTTTTTCGCGCCCAGACTCAGTGCGGGGAATACCCAGGGCCACAGGTAAGGGACGGGGGTGGGGGAGGGGAGGAAGGAGCGAAGAGCAGAGGGGAAGACAGGGTAGGGGGATGGTAGAGAAGGAAACTAAGTCTCTTCTTTCCCCTCTTTGACCTCGATATCCGGCAACTTTACCACAAATAATTCTATGTGAGAAGGGAGGGGGAAAGCTGGCGACATAAAAAGCGGATTCAGGGCGGCCCATATGGCGCTGTAAATTGCGACTGTGTTTAAAGTTAGCTGTCGAATTCTGCTATGAAATCGTCCAGTCGAGTTCATTTCCCCCAGGGAAAATGTGCAGGCGAGAAGCCTATCCATCAGCAGGATTATAAAAGTAAACACACACACACACACACACACACACACACACACACACACACACACACACACAAAACCGGGACTTCAAGTTCAGAACTCACTGCAAACGGTGTTAAAAAATCAGAGAGGACCTAATGATTTCCGTTTGGAGGCGCGGGCCCAACGCACCTCCCCAGCCACGTAGCACTAAAGTGCTCTAAAAACTCTACGGGATTCTCTTTCTCCCCCTCCCTCCCTTTCTCTCCCTTCTAGGGTGGGAGGAGAGCAGCTAGGCTGAGGTGAAGAAGTAGGGAGAGAATTTGTTGTACTGTTTGTTAAAATACATACTTGGTTCTGAAATTCGAAAGATAAGTAATCCAGACAGGAGCGCAAGGTCTTCTCCTTACGCAACTCTCTACATCCTCCCCGTTGGCCCCCCCTTACCCTCCTCCCGCTTGTAAATGTTTAAAAAAAAAACCTTCCCGACGATCTACTCTGGAAAATCAAAGCATTATCTATTATTTAACACGTATCTGTGTCCGAGGAAAAATGAGGAAGGCGCTGCATGATTAGGACCTAAGGGGCAACCCAGCAAACTGAGAGCGTAATGATGCCCCTAAATGAAGGGGGAAATGTGCCGCGGCGCGCTCTATTAATCAGACTGTCAATTTCACCCCCGAGGCCAAACCCCCGGGCGAGCAGAACCGGCTCTGAGCGGGCAAAGGACTGGAGCCTTCCTCCTTACTTCTTGTCTCTTCTCGCCTCCTATCTGGATCTATTTGTCTGCTCCGAAGCTGCCTTCATTACCTACTGACAGGAGTGTGTATTTATTTGCTTATAAACCTGTTACAATAAATGATTATTCGAACGGCGTCATTCGTACCTTAATGACGAGCGAGCGCTACTTTTTGATGAATGACATCTCGGGCTCGGAAGGATGTATGGGTCATTTTGACCAGTCATTCCCTCGCTCTGGCATCCCACAATTTTTCCGCCTCCCTCCAAAAGAGATAATAATATTTAGAGCCGCTCTCTGGGGCTGAATGAGAATTAGCCCTAGGCGCAGCCCATCATTAGGACGGGACAGCCGGGCAACTGTGACATTTTTTAGAAAGCTGAGATGATGGAAAGAATAAGAAAAGAGATGATTCTGATGGAGAGAGGGCTGCACAGCCCCACGGCCGGCAAGAGGTTCTCCAATTTGTCCGACTCGGCTGGCAATGCTGTGCTCGAGGCCTTGGAAAATTCGCAGCACCCGGCTCGCCTCAGCCCGCGCTTGCCTTCCGCCCCCTTGCACGGCGCTCTGGGAGACCTCCCTGCCAAGGGCAAATTCGAAATAGACACTTTGTTCAACCTGCAGCACCCGGGCAGCGAAAGCACCGTCTCCTCCGAAATCGCCTCCGCCGCCGAGGGCCGCAAAAAGCCGGGCCATTATTCAGAGGCGGCCGCAGAGGCGGACATGAGCAGCGACGTGGAGGTGGGCTGCTCGGCGTTGCGCTCCCCCGGCGGCCTCGGCGCCGCGCCGCTCAAGGAAAACAATGGCAAAGGTAATCAAGCCGCCTGCGCCGCGCTCTCCAGTCCCATCCTCCCTGTTCCTCCGCGGCCCCTGCCGGCCCTTCTTGGTGCCCTTGCCCCTCTCCGACCCACAGCAGCAAGTTACACAGGGCTAGTTCGGGCGGGGGGCGGGACGCATGCAAGGGATCTTGCCTTCCGGCTGTATTCCTTGAACCTCACAGAGAGGCTCAGGCCTGGGGCTCCAGGCCCGTCCGCCTGTCTACCCTCGCTCCTGAGTCGGAGAAAATGTTTCTGTGAGCGGTTCTAAAAGCCGGTGTGAGCCAACCGGCCCCTAGCCATCTACTAAGTCGCGCTAGGGGAATGGTGCCCTGGGCAGCTGCTCTCAACTCCGCTGCCTCCGAACCTCAAGGTTGAGTAGAGAGGGCATTCTAAGTAAGTCGGAGGGAGCCTCGCTGGGCGCCTCTGGGATACCTTCTTGGGTCAGCGGGAGAAAGAGATGAAAAGTAGAGTCCACCCCCGAATGGTTCTGGTTTGAGCCACTACTATCTTTCGAATCTTAAAATGTTTTAAAAACAAACCCCAAAGACTGTCAAAGAAAGGTTACAGGCCGTACAGAAAGCTGCCCTGCAGTCTCCAGATTGTGGCAAATCTAAAGCTTCTCAAACTGCACCTAGATGTAGGCATTTTCCCTTGGCCAATTTGCTTCCTGAGTTGAAAATTTCCAATTACTTTAAAAAAAATCCCTAATTGAGTTCCTATTATTTGGTTATGAAGGGCTCCCCAAACTTTATTGATTCCATTAACGGGCAGCAATTTGTAAGCATGACAGACCCCATCAATTCAGGCAGCGCCTCGCCTTCCTCTCGCAGCTTCCCCCATCCGCGTGCAGCCCCAGTGCCGGGATCTCGGTCCTACAGTGACTCATGCGCTGTTGGCTTTCTATTCAC